TGGCTCCGCGACCTCCCACCTGCCCCCTCCTCTCATCTTCAGGCTTCTTGCCTTTGCTCAGACTCCAGGGGAGTCCAGGGAGACCAAGGGGGTGCCTCCTCCAGCAAACATTCACTGAGGAAGTGTGGCCCTGTTTATTCAACGTGTTCTGTGTGCAGCAGGCTACACCCTGGAGGTATAGGAATTAGGAACTGCCCTGCAGGCCCTGAGGGGCTCCAGGCTAGGTCTGAGGGAGAAAACTTGAGAAACTGCTGCTTACCTAGAGACCGGTAAATATTGTCAATGAGGAATGTGCAAATGGCCCAGGGTTAGAGGAAGACCTTCCCTGCAGAAAAGGCCCCAGGGATTACACAGGATACCAGGCTGATCCTTCTTTAGTCCCCTGGGCCCTCCTTCAATACCAGGCTGATCCTTCTTTAGTCCCCTGGGCCTTCCTTCAATACCAGGCTGATCCTTCTTCAGTTCTCCGGGCCCTCCTTTAATACCAGACTGAAGAAGTTCAGTCTGGCATCCTGTGCAATTCCTGGGACTTTTCTGCAGGGAAGGTCGCCCTTTCCTCTACAACCCTCCTTCTTGCCCCGTTAAAATATCCCGCAATAAAAGTCAATCAGGTGGCTCGCCCTGTCTGTAATCCCAGTACTTTAGGAGGTGGATCACCTGAGGTCAGGAGTTCAAGACCAGCCTGGCCAACATGGAGAAACCCGGTAAAATGCAAAAATAAGCCAGCATGGTGCACGCCTGTAGTCCCAGCTACTTGGGAGGCTGAGGCAGGAGAATCGCTTGAACCCGGGAGGCCAAGGTTGAAGTGAGCCAAGATCACACAGCTGCACTCCAGCCTTGGGTGACAGAGCCAGACTCCATCTCAAAAAAAAAAAAAAAAAAAAGAAGAAGTCAATCAGACCAAGGCTTTTGGGGCCCTGACTCCCATTTCCCTCAAAGTGTATGGGTTTCTGGCCAGGTTTTTAGCCCCCAGGTACCATTCCCTCATCCCCATCTGGGTTGATCAGCTCAGCCCTGGTTCCCTCCACTGTCCCGGTTCTAACATTGCAAGCCCAGCATTCCAAGACCCTTACATCCCAGTCAGTCAGGATGGAGCCCACCCCATTGTCTGAGCTCTTAGCCCACAGAGGAGCTCCCCTATTCCTTCCAGAAAAAGGAACTGAAATGTGGTCCACACCGCAGCTCTCCAGGCCTGGTCTCCTGGCTACTACCCCAGCAGCAAATCAACCTGAGCTGCTTTCTCTCACCTGCTCCCTTACACGTGGAGCTCATTCCTTTTCTAAGTGAGTGGATAGAGAGGGGGATGGAAGAGCCAGCAGATGCCTCCATAGCCTGCAGAGATGGCAACAGGACCGTGTTTCCCAGGGCTGCGCCTTCCTTCCTGGATCCCAGGAACTTCCATTCCAGTGCATTTTCTTCTCAAAGGTTGGACCTTGGTCCTCTGTTGCCATGAGAGCCCAGATCTAACCATCATGACAAATCTGGATGTATATACTGACCCTGGAGTTGGTAACGCTACTGTAGAAAATGTCTTCTTTGGCTAGGTGTGGTGGCTCATGCCTGTAATTCCAGCACTTTGGGAGGCCGAGGCAAGTGGATTACCTGAAGTCAGGAGTTCGAGACCAGCCTATCCAACATGCAAAACCCTGTCTCTACTAAAAATGCAAAAACAATTGCCAGGTGTGGTGGTGCACGCCTGTAATCCCAGCTACTCAAGAGGCTGAGGCAGGAGAATCGCTTGAACCTGGGAGGTGGAGGTTGCAATGAGCCGAGATCACACCATGGCACGCCAGCCTGGGTGACAGAGTCAGATCTCATCTCGAAAAAACAAAAAGAAAGAAAGAAAAAAAATGCCTTGTTTTTTTCTTTTTGGTTTTGGTTTTTCTTCAGTCCTTCCAGATTCTGTCCCAACCCCCAACTATAGAAATGGAGACAGGTGCCTTGTTGGTTCCATGGAGAACTCAAGCCCTTTCCTCCCGAATCAGTCAACAGACTGTCGAGTGGGGGCCAGTGGGGCGGTGCCTTCCCACAGGGGAAAATCCAGCAAAGCCTCGGGCTATGGGTCTCTGGAGGCGTGGCCTCGTGCGGCTATGGGTCTCTGGAGGCGTGGCCTCGTGCGGCTATGGGTCTCTGGAGGCGTGGCCTCGTGCGGCTATGGGTCTCTGGAGGCGTGGCCTCGTGCGGCTGTGGCTCTCTGGAGGCGTGGCCTCGTGCCGGAGGGCCGCATTTCCCGTGTGTTCGTCTGTGGTTTCTAACCTTCCATGATGCACCCATATTATTTTTAGTATGAAACATTTCAGACACATAAAAATATAGAGACTAACAGAGAACACCCACTTAACCATCAACATCATCAGCTAAAGAAATGAAACCTTCAGAACCAGCTGAGGCCCCGCTCGTGCCTTCCCCAAACCCCTCCCACCTGCTCCAGAGCAAGTGTCAGTCCTGAATTAGAAGTTTATTTTCCCCATGTATGAGCTGCATATGTCTCCAAATTCAGGTATTTTTTTTAAAGAGAAGAAAATCGATTTTGCCTTCTATAGATTCAAGCTGTTGTTCTCAGACTTTGGGACCCTCCCGGACCAGGAGCATTTCCAAAGAAATTTGTGTAATGGTGAAACTCTCCATTTTGCAGAGTAAGAACACGAAGGAAAAGAAACACACAAAAAAAGAAAAAAAGAAAAAGAAAAGAAAAAAAGAAAAGAAAATCGCCTGTGATTCCAGTAGCTTCCTAAGAGAAAGAACTTCAGTGGTGAAAATGCAGAAAGAGCACATCCTCAGAATTTAAAAAGTAAATGCAAAGCCTATATTTTTCTTTTGCTATTTTATTTCATTTTTCTACACAGACCCTGGAAAACCTCTTCCTGACCAGCTCCGCACTGAGGAATCACCACTTCAGAAATGAGACCTCTGTGACCCGCGTCCCTAGGAGGATGGGGCTTTCCTGGGGGACCCCCGTGCGGAGCCAGGATGGGCTGGACTTTACCGAGGGCCTCCTGCTCAGTCAGGTGACTGGGCAGGTCTGAGGCTGCCTCTGCTCTGTTCTCTTCTCACCTCCTCATCTTCTCTCTTTGACCCCCTCTGCAGCCCTTCCTGTTCAGAGCCCTGAGGGAGGAGACTGGCCTGTCCACTTCTCCCCTCCCCAGCCCCAGGTGGGCCCTGCCCACAGCCCAGGCAGAGGAGGGAAGGTCTGGCCTCAGCCCTGAGGCTGGAAGGGCCTGGAGGGCACTGGCCAGGCTCTGAGCACTGGACTAGAAGGAACAGGTCGCAATGAGTGACCGCAAGAGATCATGGTGACTCCTGAAAACGCCCAGGCCCCGCCTCAGTGCCCCGGGCCACCCCTGGCTCCCCAGGCTTTGCGCTGAAGCCAGGATAACATGGACAGGCCCACCACGCTCCTGCATAGTGTGCGCCCCCCGCAGGTGTGCCCAGGAGCGTGGCAGGCGGGAAAGTGACGAATCCTGACTCCAAGGCCAGGGCTGCCACCTCCCCGAAACCCAATTTCACCCGATGCCACCGTAAGTTGGCCTTGGCTGCTCCTGTACCCACCTGGGGCTTCAGTTTCCACATCTGCCAAGCGAGGCACGTGGGCCCAACCATCTGAGACCCAGGACAAAGGGAGCCCTGGGAATGCAGCGCTGTGATGAGTAAGCCTGGGTCTTACTTCTAGACCTCAAGGCACCAACACAACCCAAGTCCACACAGGGCTGTGAGCTGTCAGGGTAGAGGGCCCTGCCTGCTCAGCCCCCTCCTTCTCCCCCTTGCTCTGCCCTTTCCCCACCTCTCCCAACCCTAACCCACACAGATGCACACACACACACACACACACACACACACAGAGACACAGACACACACACAGATGCACACACACACACACACACACATAGACACAGACACACACACACACACACAGAGACACAGACACACACACAGATGCACACACAGACACATAGACTCATGGACACAGACACAAAGACACACAGACACACACACAGATGCACATACAGACACACACAGACTCACGGACACACAGACACAGACTCGTGGACACACAGACACACAGATGCACACACAGACACAGACTCACAGACACAGACACACAGTGACACAAAGACACACGTGGACACACAGACACAGACACACAGACCCACAGATAGAAACACACAGACACGCAGAGACCGACACACAGACACACACAGATACATAGACACAGAGACACATACACACACACAGATACACAAAGCCACACACAGACACACGCAGACATAGCCAAGGAGACACACTCAGACACACACACAGACACACACAGATACACATGCAGATGCACACAAGCACACACAGACACACAAACATACAAAGACACAGATGCACACATACAGAGACACACATACAGACACACAAGCATGCACACACAGATGCACACACAGACATACACGTATTTTATTTGCAGCCCAAGAGAGGCAGGCTGCGTGCAGAGGCTGGCAGCTGGGTTCCCTCTGTCCGTGTGAGGCGCGGGCTCCTGTTTGTGCAGGACACGTGCCCAGGTCCTCACCAGCAGCTCAGGCAGAGCGGGGAGCCAGAGACACCGCCCAGCACCATCCTCACACATCCTCTGCCCACCTGCCCTCTACTTTGCCTCAGGGGAGGCAGGAGGTGCCCCTGGGGCCTGCTCCAGGCAGTTTTCACACCGCAGGTGAGAGGGGTGGGCTGGGAGGAACCCTGGAAGCAGGTGGAGGCCGCCGGCCCACAAACACCAGGCACACATGGGACTCGGCAGTCCTTTATTTAGATCAATGCGGGACTGAGGGACCCTCAGGGCAGGCCCGAGCTGGGGAACCCCATTCCACTGCAGGGCAAAGGGTGACCAGGCCCAAGGAGACCACCTTCTGCCCAAGGTCTGGAGGCAGAGAGGGGCTCACAGGCGGCCGAGGGCGCCACATCCACGCCCTGGAGCGCAAAGCCTTCCTCCCAGGGGGAGGTAGTTTCCCATCCACCGACCAGGTTTCCCTGGAGAGTCCCAGCACAAAAGCAGCAGCGGGCGGCGGCCCTGAAGGCTCAGAGCGCAGCTGGGGGGACACAGGCGGGGAGCCTCACTCCTGGGTGAGCATCCTCGCGAACTCCTCGTAGTTCACCCGCCCGTCCTGGTCCACGTCGGCCTCGCGGATCATGGCATCCAGCTCCTCCTGCGGCAGCGGCTGCCCCAGCCCCGCCATGGCCTGCTTGAGCTCGTCCACGGTGATGTGGCCATCGCCGTCCTGGTCGAAGGCGCGGAAGGCGACCTGCAGGTCCTCCCGGCCGGCCCTGGCCTTCTTCACCACCGCCATGAACTCCTCGAAGCTGATTTCGCCGTCGCCGTCGCTATCAAACTGGGAGATGAGATTCTTTAGCTCGGCCTCCGAGAAATTCTTGCCCATGGCCTTCAGCGCCGCGCCCAGCTCCTGGGCATTGATGGTGCCGCTTCCATTCGTGTCAACCGCGGAGAAGGCGCTTTTGTACTCGGCCTCCTGCTCAGGAGTCAGCTCACCGGCCATGCCTGCGTCCCCTGCACCTCGCGGAGCCTCCGAGTTGCTGCCCACCGGCCCTCAACCTGCTGCTCTCAGAGCTCCTGGTCCAGAGCGCAGGCAGCCACAGGGATCCAGGCAGCGTCTGTCCCAGGCAGCTCTGACTTGGCATGGGAACCCCCTCCTTTTCTGCAATCGGAACAAAGGGAGGAGGAAGGCTCCCCACCCTCCAAATGCCCTGGGGTGAGAGCCTCCTCCCAGGGAGGGACAGATCCACTGCAGACAGGAAATGCAGGAATGGGAGTGGGAGAACTGTCGGGCTCCAGGTGGGAACTGCGGTGGGGTCGGGGTATGGGGGTATGGGATGGCTAGCCTGCCAACCCCTCCTGGCCTTGATAGCAACCACCTCCCTCCAGGAACATTCTGCCCAGGGGATAGTTTCCCCTGCAGCTGATTCTCAGAGGTCCTGACCAAGCCAAGCGGTTCAAGACAGCTTCTCCAACTTCACAAAGACTGAGACTGGAAAGGGAGGTGGCTTGAAGAGGCTCCCTCAGGGGCACAGCAGGCCCCAGTGTTTGCTATTTCCGTACCCCTCTCTCCAGTGCTACTGCCTAGCTCTTGCCCTGAGGCTGGGGCTTGTGGAAGGGAAGTGGGTGGTAGCGTTGATTCTGCCAGGGCACAACTGCGGGCATCATGAGATTCCCAGTCCAGGGTCTAGAGACAGAGGATGGGGCTCACTGCCTTTAACTTCGAGGAAGCAAGGGACCAGGGCTGCCTAGAGCCATAGCCGTTGCTGAGATGTTGGGTATCAAGTGAACATGTGATGTGCAGTTTCAGAGGCCAGGGAAAGACTTTTTGTCTCCCCAGAATACTCCCTTCTAGCTCAGGGATTCCTACAATTCAGTTCCATCCCCAAGTCCAAGGTTCCCTGTGCAGACACCCCGGGAGCTGAGTGGCAGGCGTTCCATCCACAGGGCGTCAAACAGCTACAGTTGGAGTTTTGCTGCAGCGAGACGGGAGGTCTCAGTGCCCAGCATACCCCAAAGGTGCAGGCAGAGGGGCAGGAGGATGCAGAACAGGTGGCTGCCATCAAACTTGGCCTTCCTTGTGGTTTTACTAAGCATCAGCCCTAAGCACAAAAACCCATCTGGGAACCTACTGGGGCTCTCGGTCTGATCTGTTCTCTGGAAGGAAAACCCCAGGGCCACTTGCCTTGAGAAACTTTTAGAGCAACAGCTAAGCTTTTGGGGGACCATCCCCAAGTCCTTCCACTGATGTGACCTACAGTTGTGAGGGGACATTTGCCTTGGAGTCCCCAAGATGCCTTTCTCAAGCAAGTCTCCTCTAATCTCCACAGATTCTCATTCTTCTCCCCAACCCCTGCCCGTACCTAAGGAACAAACTCCTTTATTCCCCTGAGAAAGTTTATACATTCCACCTCCCTCCTGTTCAACCCATGAAATAGACCAAGTACCCTCTCATTCCCTAAAGTACAGCCAGACAAACACCTCCCAGCCCCTTGGTGCTGCACACATTCCCCAAGGGAAGCCGGAGGCTGGGGTGCCTGACCACTCACTCCATGACCCACAGCTCGGTCCCCCAGGGCCACGCAAGGGGCAAACCAGGCAGAGCAGTGAGAGGAGGGAAGATGCCCCAGCCAGCCCTGGTGTGGCAGCTGCTCCCTGAGCTGTGCACAAGGGGCCAGAGGGAGGTGTGAAGTGCTGGGAAGGACCGCAGCAGAGAGAGAGGCTGAGGTTTGCGGAGAGGGAGCCCCGGGGACCAGGTGAAAAAGGGAAGGTCACGGTCAGCAGGGAGAGGCAAGCAAGGGGGTCACCCCACCGGAGTTCAGCGGCACCCGGCATAGAGAAAGATATGCAGAGAGGAGTATCCCAGTTGTCTAACTCATTTTAGAAAGCTATCTTGAAGATTTTCTAGCTCACCTCAGTGGTGGAATAATACAGAGGCCTCAATAAATATTGAGCAACAAAAATTTCTCAATGAAATTGATAACCGGTTTGGGATGGAGAACATGGGTCCAGCCAGGAGAACAGAGAAGCATCCTGCCTGGTGAGGGGCCCAGGGAGGGCGGGACTCTTAATAGCTGGATTCAGCCCAGCTCCTTGTTTTATTTCCTTAAAGAATACCTGAAGATTTAAATCTATATTTGAAATTTCCTTTCCTTCTCATCTTGTTGTTGGGACCTGTGATTAAAATCCAAATGTTTAATAATTATTTCATGTCATTTTCCATGGGTATTAAATACTACTTTGCAAACAATATTAGGAGCCTTGAGCTCCCGGTTCCAGTTTTGTCAGTGATGTGGAAATGTGTGTCTCAATATCTGCATCTATAAACTAGGATGATGCACCCACCGTATCTGATTGGAGTGCGTAGGATCAGGTTATTAGGTACAGAGCCAGTGGCAGGTGTTATTATTCTATGATAAACCTCATGGTCAGTAACAAGCTGGTTCATGTTTGATGTCAACCAACACTGGGGAAAAACATCTACTTGAAGGGGAATCTCACAATTTTATGATTATACCTCTTTTGATTGAACTGAAAAATTAAATGCATCTGCCTCGAGGTTTAGTTAAGTCCAACATGCCAAGGCTCAGAGCATTAGCTGACTTTCCAGTGTCAGCTCCAAACAGAGGCAGTTCCATGCAGAGCAGAAGCAGCTGTTTAGAAAAAGCCTCAGGCTGTCTCATCACGAGACGAGGCGATGGTCACTCTTCTCGCGATGTGCATTTTCTGGATGGGGAGAGGCAGTGTCCCATAGGGAAAGTCCCCTGGCTTCCCACTGGGTGTTTCCCCATCCGGGGTCGCTTCCTCCCTAACACATTCTCTTTTCAGGGCATGTACAAGCACTGAGATCGTTTTTTTTCATCCTCTCCTCAGCCTCCCGCCACAGTATGCGAGCCATCAGCTGCCTTGGCTCAGACTCCGTGGGTGAAGTTTCCATCCCCCTCCTCTGGGGTCAGCACCAGGGACACCAAGGACAGCCATGGATGAGTGACCCATACCACAGATGGCCTGGCACAGCCCAAATGGGGGCTCCCAAAGAGGGACGAGATGGCGTTTGTTGTCACACCTAGGCAAGCTTGGTCAAGCCCCTCTGCCTTGGCTGGTTTAGCACAGCAGCTGGGTGCAGAGCCTGGCTTCGAGGAGGGAGAAATGCCTTCTTTCTAGCTAAGGTGCATTCCCACGCGATGCCTTCTGTGTGTATCCCTGTGTGATGCAGGGGCCACGGGCATCATCCGTCCTCCACCCCATGAGGCGCCTGGAGCTGGGGTGCCCAGCCACTGGCTCCATGTCCCACAGCCGAGCTCCCCCGACCCAGGGGCCATGTGAGAAGCAAACCCAGCAGAGCAGTGAGAGGAAGGAAGATGCCCCAGCCAGCCCTAATGTAGTGGCTGCCCCTGGAGCTGTGTGTGAGGGGCCTAAGGGAGGTGCAGAAGGCTGGGAAGAACTGCAGCAGAGGAACAGGCTGAGGTTTGCAGAGAAGGAGCCGGGGACCAGGTGAGAAAGAGAAGGTCGTGATCGGCACAGAAGAGGGAAGTGAGGGGGTCTGTGCCTTTGTGATTGAGTGCTGGAGGTGGGCTCTCCTCCCCTCTCCCACGCCTCTCAGCTGAGCCCCTCATGGAGACGCCAACTGTCCCTGCTACCTTGGAGGAGAAAGGAAGTCTCCTTCGTTGAGGAGGACTGAAGACATCTGCAACTTGCAATGGGAAGGATGAAAACCTGTCCAAGGTGGCTGGACAAGTCCCCAGAGGCAGGAAGGAGAGAGTTACCATCAGTCATGGGACTGCCTTGTGCATTCCCTGTGTGCACATGTGTTTGTGTGTGTGTATGTATATGTGTATTTGTGTGTGCATGTGTGTGTAGGTGTGGGTTTGCATGTACATGTGAGCACAAGTTTGCATGTGTGTGCAAGTGTGCATGCGTGTGTGTGTGTTGGGAGGAGATACGCAGGGTGTAGAGTGGCTGTCCTTCTGTTCAGACGAGGCCAACTCTAACTTTCCCACCAGACTGACCCCAGGAAAAAAACACACTCTGGCACTTCCACTACACTTTGGCTCCTCAGAGTGGAGAAACCAGTCAAACAGGCCTTGGAACCTCAGCCGGCGCAGAAACTCCTCACACTCCTGTGTTTGCAGAAACTGATTTCACCTGGCACCTGTACTGTCTCCACGGTGTTGGCACGTTGGCACGGCCCTGACCTTCTCTGGGGACAGGGCAGCCCCAGGGAAATGAGAAGGGCCTGTGTGGAGGGTGTGATCTGTGGAAGAGAATACCGGGTACCCAGCTTCACAAAGCTCATCTCCCTTGCGATTATCCTCAGCAATGAGAAATAGAAATGGTGAGTGATTGTGCTGGCTTCACAGGCAGTTGGCTCCGAGCCCCCTTTCCTGGGTACTCCTAGACACCACACACCTCGCCTACACACCACGCACCTCCCCTACACACCGCGCACCTCCCCTACACACCGCGCACCTCCCCTACACACCGCGCACCTCCCCTACACACCGCGCACCTCCCCTACACACCGCGCACCTCCCTACACACCACGCACCTCCCCTACACACCACGCACCTCCCCTACACACCGCACATCTTCCCAACAGCGTGTGGTCAGATCACTGGGGGTTAGCTCCTGGCTTCTGCACTTTGCTACCTGTGTGGCCTGGGTGAGGTGCTTCACCCCCAAACACTGCATGCCTCTCCAGTGAAGAAGATGGTACTAGCACCTGCCTTATAGGAGCCTTGAGAGGGTGAAAGCCCTGCAGGAGAGCCTCCTCCCAGCACCTCGCGAGAGCAGGCACTCAGTAGGCAGAAGCCGCCTCAGAGCTCCTGCACCCCCGGCCGGCGCCAGCTCTCTGCTGGGTGCCATGCCAGGCTGCTTCCTGGCCAAAGCAGAAGTATCCTCACTGCAGACCTGGGTGGCAATTCTAAGTTCTCAGGGCTTCAGCTGAGTGGAGAAACACCTGATTTCACTGATGCCATGGACAGTATCGACCTTGCTGTCCACTGCACTCCTGGGGCCCCCAACATGGTCCACGTGTGTGGAACACGCTTGACAGAGGCTCATAATTCCACAGGAAA